TATTAGTAGTAATTAGAATTAGAAATACTTAGCAAGTTATGAGAGGGTATCTTTCACACCTACTGAGTTAATGAATTCCGCGAGAAATGTTCAAACTGCCCCCGTCTGTCCATAACAGAAGACGGTCGATATATCGAACACCTGTTGCAAAATCTTATGTCTTGGTTTGCTATTTATTTTTATTGTTATTGGATATAGTTTAAATGTGTTGATGTTGGTTAAATATATTTTAAATAGTTATAAAATTCTGATCTTATGCAAATATTATTTTCGTTTTAATTGATGCTCACAGCTAGATTTTTTTTGCATTACAGCTGGTGCCGTTCAAAGCCTACGGCCTACTTATTTAAAGCGTGGAATTTTTATATACTCTATATCTCGAAGAGGAATCGAGCAAAATATCAAGTGTGTTATATTTTTGAAAGGTAATTTTAAAATTCTTTTCAATAAATTAAAAATATACAGGGAATCCGAGTATAAAAATCAAATTTTCTGTTGATAATTCTAAATTATTAATTTTAAAAAAATTATACTTTAACCATTAAATTTACGTAAAAAGGTGCTTTGGAAATGTTTTCATAAAAATACAAATTTTCCATAGCAAAAAGTTATGCTGATTTGTTAAAGTGCATATTGAAAAACACCCTCAAAATTCCTGAAACGCAAAAGATATCGATATGCGGTTTTTACCATCATGTTTTTGACAAAAATTGAGCTCCAGACATCGATATTAGTTTTTGTCTATCTCCTATAGAAAAGGGTGTTTCCATTTAAAAGCGTCGAATTTGACCCACCCCCTACGCCACCGGGCACCTTTAAAATTATTTGTCCATAAAAAATTATTTGTCTATAGCAATAAACAAAATAATAAAAAATAATCAAATAAATACATGCTTCAATTTCCACAATGCTAGATATAATTTTGTCAAATATTATTGATCTACTTCGATTTAATATTTTGATTATTTAGAAATATGCTAATAAAAATATTTTTTCACTGTTAAAATTGCTTTTATATTTATCAAAAAATAGTAGATAAAATACTTTAACCTCAAGGGTAGATTAAATGATACTTAAACAGCGAGGATAGGTTAAAAAGCTTATTTCTTCTCGCACGTTTTTTTAATCGCTTCCATTTAGAAAAATTTTTGTATTCCTTTCAAGTTATTCGGGATTTAAACGGAAGTAGTTTGATATGGCTGTTGGTAAATTACTTACTTAGTTTTGAGCCATTTCTGGCTTCAATTCAATCAGCAAACGACACGAAAGAGAATTAAAAACTATTGACTCAAAACTGACAACTAAAGAGACAGTTTTATTTATTTGTCAAACATATAGAAAACCAACGCAAACCCAGCACAACATTTTTCTACTGTAATCCCTTGATATAATAATTTCGGAATATTTTTTAAAACGTAACTCGCTATGGAATATACAGGACGATAAAATTGCATTATCGTCTCCCGAAATTAATTATAGACGATAAAATACAATTTTATCGTCTTGAATAAAAAATAACTAATATATTTTGTTGAGTAAATAAAAATAAGTCAAATAACATAGCAATGACTAATATTCTACTCCTATTTTCTACTACCAGAATATTTAAAGCTCACGTATGCATATACCCTTTCAAGTTCGTGGTAAAAAATGGTTTGCCACAACGCTTCCATTAATCCTTATAAACACAGCTATGCAACTGAAAATTAACTTAACGACTGTTTAATTACTTAACTCACGCGAAATTTATCCCACACTATCCCCACTCTGTTAAATTAATTTATTAATATTTGTCCCAACCATAAATCTAACAACATTTGCAGGCTAGCCATTTCTTACGAGCGAAGATGTTAAGTTTAACCGACTAGGGTTAAAGTTGAATAATTTATTTTGATTCCTAATGGGGTAATTAGTACTGCTCAAAGCTGGGCATAAATATATATATTATAATTATTTGGTGTTCGTTGTCTTTTACAAAAATGTGCACTTTTATTAAGCGGGGTTTACATTAGTCAAGTTACTTGAATCAAGTTAACTTGAGTCAAGTCAACTTGAATCAATTTTGGTGTTTACACTATATGAACGATTTTTGCAAACTTGAATTCAAGTGGAGGGATTGTTTTGGTTGTCTGCAGTGAAAATGGCCGTCACTCCTGATGATATAGCTGATGCTCTCCGTCAAGTCGTTGCACTGGTAGTACCATTAGTAAGCGATGTTACAGTAAATGCATTAAGAAAAAATGAAAGAAGAAGAGGAAGAGTATGAGTACGGAGTTGGATTAGTCGTAGATTAATTCTTGGAACCTCAAACAGCTTACTCAGAGAATTAGCTGTAGAGGACGTGGATTCATACAGAAACCACCTAAGAATGACACCACAAAGGTTTGATGAACTTTTGACTTTGGTTGAAAAGAAGATTAAAAAAAAGGATACAATGTTCAGGCTAGCAATACCGGCAAAAACTAAACTTGAAATAACCTTAAGGTATTTAGCTACTGGTGACAGTTTCGCTTCTTTGCAGTATCTATACAGAGTGCCAAAAAGTTCAATCAGCAAATTCCTACCTGAAGTTTTGGCAGCGGTTTACGAAGTACTCGAAGAATATATTAAGGTAAACAAAAACACATTATATTTTTTATAATTATGTTTACTGTTACAAGTAGGAGGTCAATTAATTTTTAAATAATTTCATAATTATGAATTTTTCAACAACAATTTCTTGAAAGACCAGAAAATTGTCGGAATCATTTTGTTCTTTGTCGGTTTCTAGTAAGAAACTGGTTTGCAAAGCAGGAGAAAGTAAGTCGTTTGAATTGTCTTGGTAATGAATATCTTCCACATCAGTTCTGTCAGATCCAGATACAGAGGTAGCTATGGTTGGTGATAGTGAAGAATATCTGTGAATTTGCATGTTTCGATTCAATGATTTGATTCTTGCAGCTATAAGAATGTCTTGGATAGCTTTTTGAGCATTAAGAGAATCAATTGGGTTTAATTGCCCCAATTGTGCTGAAACGTACTCTCCAAAATGAGACAGTTCATCACTAGTGTGTCTCACAGAACCATTTTTGCCAGCTGGTTTAACGTTTTGTGATATTGCATGTAGTTTATCAACTATGTGTTCAACAGCATGTATTTCGGATATTTTTTGCTTTTTGGAGCGTGGAGGCTGCATTCCAGGTGTTTGAGATTTAGTTTTTTTTGGTTGTGGTTGAACAATTGGAGAACTTGGAGAATCCACATCCTCTATATCGTCAGTCTCAGATGCGTCAGTCAGTGTAAGCAGAATTTGGATTTCCTTATCCTGAAATGAAACAGAATAACTGTACAAAATAATAGAAATATTATGAAAAAATTGTGGCAATACATTTTTTTTTTCAGGTGCCAAGTACAAAGGAAGAGTGGGAATTGGTGCAACGCAAATTTGAAGTGCAGTGGAACTTTCCCAATTGCATAGGAGCCATTGATGGGAAACATGTCCAAATAAAGTGCCCTGCTGAGAGCGGTTCGAATTACTACAATTACAAGGGTACATTCAGCATCATACTGTTCGCATTAGTTGATGCCGAATACAATTTCTTATACATAGATGTCGGTGCTAATGGAAAGTCAAATGATGGTGCAGTTTTTCAAGCATCAACATTGAACATTGCAATGGAACGTAACACCCTAAATTTACCACAGAATGCCGTTATTGTTGCAGATGATGCGTTTCCTCTAAGAAAGGACATACTGAAACCTTTCAGCAAACGCAACTTAACAATTTCAGAAAGAATATTCAATTATCGACTTTCTAGAGCTCGTAGAGTTTCGGAAAATGCTTTCGGCATTTTAGTTGCTAGATTTAGAGTATTCGAACGGCCTATTGCATTGATTCCTGAAACTGTAGATTTGGTTGTCAAAACTTGTTGTGCACTTCACAACTGGCTACGCAAATCATCAGGGAAATATTACCTTCATCTGTAGATGTGGAAGACATGGCAACATGCACAATCATACCAGGCACATGGCGCACCACTATCAATACATCATGTCTGCTGAGGACATCGAAACTGACTTCGACAAATGCTTACAAACGTGAGCTCAAATCGTTTAGAGAGCAGTATGGTAAATTCTTCTCTTCTAAAAGAAGAAGGGTCACTACCGTGGCAATGGAAGTGGATTGGTGCTGATCAACCATCGAACAGCCTTTAACTTTGTAACTAAATATGGGTAATAATACAGTTTAACCTGCGTAAATGCAATGTTTTTACAATTGTAATATATGTTAGCCTTTCCTGTATATTGTATGCTGAAGGTACTCAGTTAAAATACTATTACTGCAATATATTTTTTTTTTTTTTTTTCCAAAATATAGTGAAAGCATTTTATTAATAAATTATGTGTAGACATAAAGAAATGTAGTTTTTACTTACCAGAGTTGAAGTAGAAGGTCTGCTGGACGAACAACCCATTAAAAACTTTGCTGCATGGAACCAACTAAGTTTAGGTTCGTACAGTTCATCAGCAGCTGAACCTGATTTTTTGGATTTCGCAATTTTTATGCATTCTTTGACTGACAATGGTTTCATTTATTTTATTTTGCCTCTAATTAAGACTCATGGTGATGTCGGGAAAATTGGTTTTCAATTTGTCTACCAAACCTTTAAATCCGGCATCTCTTAAATTCTTATTTTTATATTCACTCAAACCCGAGTTCCACAGTACAGGATAGTTTTCATACACCTCCAGGAATTCAATAATTTGATCGCTTGTCCACTTAACACTTTTTGAACTCATTTTTAAATAAAGATGCTTTTAACATAAACAACAACAAAACAACACCACTCATTGTGACACTAGATTTTTAGGTTAATCCTTGAAGCAAGTGAGCTTGAATGTGTGTTTACACTGGTCAAGAGACCTTCCTACTTGTTTCAAGTGCAGCCAACTTGACTCCAAAAATCAAACATGTCTAACTTTTTACTTGACACTTGAATCTAGGGGTCAAGCACTACTTGAATGAGGAAAAAATCACTTGCAGAAGTGTTTACACGGTTCAAGTGACGTTCAAGTTACTTGATTCAAAGTAACTTGATTCAAGTAACTTGACTAATGTAAACCCCGCTTTAGAATTATAAGAAATTTCTAGAAAAATAAGAAGTAATTCCAGAATGTTTTAAAAATGCTACATAACTTTCAATTTTTGAAAATTTTTTGTATTCCTTTTCATAAGTTATTCGGGGTTTAAATGAAAGTAGTTTGGATATGCCGTTTGTCGCCTCAGCCTGAATATCTGTTGGTAATTTACTTTTTCCGTTTTGAGCCATTTCTGGCCAAAATTCCAATTCGATCAGCAATCGACACGAAGAGAATTAAAAAAAATATTGACTCAAACTTTGAATAAGAAGACTAAGGAAGGAGCATATCAAAAATCTTAGGTACACCGCGATGGGCCTCAAATATGGCCGACTTAAATTCGGTTTATCAGTGCCGATCAAATGTTATTCAAAACGTGTAAAAACATGATGTAGGGTAGACGTAAGGTAGACTCAATAATTTGGTTTTTTTACTTACGTTGTGAATAAATGTTGGTAGTTATTAAAATTGTTATAAAAATATATAATTTAATAAAAAATAGATAAGTTATAATAAGTATTTATTAACACAAACATCCGATACGCTACTGAAGTAAGTCAAATTAACGTATTTCTTTGACATGTAATCTTTGACAAGTAATAAATAAAAGCTAAAAATGCAAGAAAAAATATATAATTTAGTTAATTTAAGTGAATTTCATAAATGATCGGTTTACTACACGCATGTATATTATATAGTCACTTACTAGCGAAAATTTGTTCCAATATTTCACTCAATTTTTGCTGAGATCTACCGCACGCTGCACAACCAACTATTTTAGAAAGCTGATAAATCGCGATAGTGTCAATGTTTAAGTTAATTTGGGTTCTGCCACAATTTCCATCTAGATTTACTACCTTTATACAACTATCAGTAGTAGAATAAGAGAATATTTTGTTATATTAGTGAAGAGAGAATAGGTTGTTATACTAAGTTAGTCATTTTTCTATTAAAATAACTTAGAAAAAATTGCGTTGACAAAACAACGTTTGCCGGGTCATTATTATTATTATTATTATATTATAAGGATAAATAATTACTATACCTAGGCATTAATTAAATTACGAATAAGTTGACTGAAAATGTCCTTAGACTAACGGTTTCACTATTGAATTATGCTAAAATATTAATTAAAGAATAAAAGCAAGTAGTTTCCCAATTTGTCGTGCTGAGAAAGACTTTTTCTTTTTATTCCGTTTCCCTTTTCCAATTGAAAAATGGCTTTTTGACTTATTCTATATTTTCAACGAGACCAGTTACTTTACAGTCGCTTTATGCCGGCGTCAGCGCTTGATAAATTAGTCAAGTTTAGCAAGGGAAATGCTTTAATTTTAGAAATGCGACTTAAATATATAGCCATTTCACACAGATGTTACTAACGTATAAATTTTTGAGTGAATACGTGTTATACTAAAGTTTTTTGATTAGGTATAGACATTTTTGGTACAAAATTATAGTTCAGTGTCTAGGGAGAGAAAACTTAGTATAATAGAAAAATAATGTATATATTAGTAGTGGGAACTATCGAATGAATACTATCGAAACATTCGATAGTTGCAATTCATTCGAATAATTCGATAGTTAGTAAGAAAAACATTTGTTTTTACAAAAAAAAAATTTGAATAAAAAATTATTTGAATAGATCTCGTCATCTGCCTGGAAATATTGTATTCTAGTAATTCGGCAGCAAAAACCATTCATTAATAAAATTCATTCATTTATTAAATTCATTCATTTATGAAATTCGGGATTATTCAAGTTTGGAAAGACTGATTATGGCTGAATATTAATCAATTTCTTAGTTGTCGCCCGGCGACGTAGGTTTCTTTCCGAGAGAGCGGTCGGTGGCAATGCTATGAAAGAAGCCGGCATCTTTGATTTTTGCGGAGTCATATATAGATAAGGACACATTATTTTTTTATTGAGGAAAGTGTGTTTACACAGAAAATACATTATGAAGGGCGTTGTTGCCATTTTTGTATTAGTTGATATTAGCAAAGAATATTATTGTTTGGCTTCAGTTAGTTAGATAGTATGTCTATATATTCTGCATTTTTTATTAATATTCTATTGTTACACTGCAATAATATTTTGTTATTTTGGATGTAGGAAAATTATTTTGAATGTTTTTTTTTTTTTTTTTATAAATAATAATAACAGGAATAATTTGTTATACTCTATTAACAACAAAATTTAAAATCATTTAATATAACATTTTTTAAGTAGTAGCAAAATATAAAACAACAAATTAGATGTCAAATTATTTATATTAGGATCCTATTTAAAATAATATAGCTTTAATTTTGGCAACGTTGGTTTATTAAATAATAATAATTACAGAACTAATTTGTTATATTAACAACAAATTTTAAAATCATGAAATATAAACATTTATTAATTTTCTAAGCAAGCGGTATATCGAAGGAAAATATAAATAAAAATTAGAAATCAAAATTATTTATATTAGGTGCTTTATATTACTATTTAAAAAAATTATATTACTTTTTACTTGGCATTACTTAAAAAATAAATGAAATATTTCTTCGCAAAAACTACATGTAAGAGAATTAGCATAAACAAAATACAAACATCGTTAACTTTTTTAAATTGGCACGTGTAAAATTTTCTTTTCATTTTAATTTTTCTCACCCCATAGTTTGAGTTCGATAACCATTTATTTAAACCATTACTACTTAAATATAATTATTAAGGTCCAACTAATTCATAGGTATTATTAAACATCTAAAATACAAATATGTATTTTTAAAATTAATTTTTTAAAATTAAGTTCATCTCATTTTAAAAATTAAGGCTTTCAAAATTTCCCATTAAAAAAATAGACCATATACTATATAAATGAAATAATTGAAAGATCGGACTACGGAAAACCTCACAAATGGAAAATTTAATTCACCTGCATATGCACACAATCGTCAATAAATAAAATTAAAAAATAACTACTATTTTAGTATTTTAACAATTTTAATAAACGCAAAAATAGCACAGTATTTATACGGCGAAGTTATAAAAATTTGAAAGAAACTAATAATGTAATTGACGCATACAAAATTCAAACGAATACTAAATTTCATTTATCAACAGCATTCGATAGTCGTGGCTCAACGATAACCATTTAGTCGCACGGCGAGGTTGTCATATATGCTTTAGTTTACAAATGAATGAATGATTTTATTCGAATAAAACCATTCGATAGTTGAAATCATTCATTCATTAACCATTCGATAGTCTAATTCATTCGATAGTTCCCATCGCTAGTATATATTTGTTCAAACATGCCGGAAGCTGCAGACTAACCTAAAGCTTTTGACCTTTAAGCACTGTGTGCTTTTTTTCACTAATACTACTACACATTTAAAAATATAGGAAAACATTGTTTGAACATAACAAAAATATGTCTACCACAATCTAGTAGTTTAAAAAAAAACTAAAGAACGCGATTTTAAAACTAATCAAGCTAAGAAAGCCCAACAAACCCTATACAATTAAATAACCTTTAACTATCTGAAAATTATTTAATTTTATGGAGTTGGCAGTTAATTGACTTTTAATCCAGTAATATTATGGCTCAAATTGCGATATATCCGACAAAATTCATAAAGTTTTCCAAATTGGTGGAAATATGATGTCCTAAAACAGATTTCAAATATTATTATATTCTAAAATAGAGCATATAATACGAAAAATGCTAATTGAAATTTAAATTTTACCGATAACTAAAGCAAAATATATTTTTCTACTGATCTATTAAATTGCAGGAAAACAAAGGGGACTTTCCGTAATGTATTACCAACATACAAGATTGGTTTTCGAATGTATAATTTAAGCTT